GTTCGAACCATTTGAAGAAGTAGCGGAGAAAACGTACGAACCAGACGTAGGATTGATCTCGTTTGTCAGTGAGTACGAGAATTGTAAATTATCGTTGACGAAAAATTTGAGCGTATTTAGGGTTTGCCGAAGGGCGACGAGATTGTTGCTTGAGAGTATGAAAGGGTAAGTATTAGAGGTCAAGAGCAGATTCGACCCGCTGTATAGACTAGCGTTGCTTGTATACTGATTCAATCTAAGATAGTATTGGACGTTACTGGAATCTCCCCACATCAATTGATTAACGTTGCTCTGTCCTGTCTGATTGAGGTAGTAGCGGCAAAGGAAAGTATTTGCTGGAGCGACTGACAACATAGCGACTCCCGCCTGATTGCTGCCGTTTGCTAAGTAAATCAAATTGTTAGACAGTGTTGCAGCGTTTGACAACGTTAGACTCATATTAAAGTATGAAAACACAAAAAAGAAGTTCGTTTGTCGAAATTATTTTCTCACATAATGATATAATGGAAGGATATACCGACAACCTTGCACGTTGGTTTGTTAGAGAGTATCCGCAACTCTGCAAAGACGTTGGTTTAAAAGAGATTTTGGCGAATCCGTTTGGTGCTCTACTAGATCAAAAAGCCAGACCAAAAGATCTCAAGATTTTGCTCGAACTTCACGCAGTATACAGAGTTTCTGACACAGGTGTGCCCCACCTTCTACCACGGATTTTCACTCCTGAAGTCGACGATGACGAAATTGAGTCTTTGTACGAAAGGGGTAATGGTCTTATAAATGGTTTACCAAAATCCACCATAAGTGAAGAGGATGTATACTACTATTCGGATTTCAGAGGAGTTAAGATCCCGATCGCTGTGATCAACTTCTATTGCAAAGCAGTGCCGAGAACAGACGTCCAGTGGTGTGTGCAATATATCAATCCTGTGTACTAATCATCTTATTATCTTTTCAGTAGGACAGCGGCGATCGAGTAAAAGACCCACGCCACCCCGCTGAAGAAGGGATCGTCTGCATATTCACAGTTCCAGAGACCAAATCATTAAAGTTGACTGCATCATTAGGATAGAAAGTTCCTGATGAGTCTATAATCAGACGAGCGTTGTCACCGTACAGACCTGGCGTCATTGATGAATTCGCCTGAATTCCAGTCCCAATCTGCATCACAGAACTTCGTACGACCCCGCCACAGACCACGTCTTTTCCAGTTGATAGATTGCTATTGACAAAGACGTTCGAATTGGTCGCGATGAGAGCGGACGTATTCAAATTGCTTTTTAAGTACAGACTATTTAAATTGGACATGTTAAGGTTCGAATCAATCGTCAGGTTTGACGTGATCTGATTGCTACCGTTGCTATAAGACATGGTTAGTGAGATCCCTCCAAAGTCATGTACCCAAGAAGAGTAGTTCGATCCGTTTTGATTCTTTAGAATGATGTTTGAGGTATCTGCTCTGATTCCAGTGGTTGAACTGGTAAGAAATGGGTTCAAATTACTGGTACACTGTAGAAAGACGAAATTACTTTCGCTCACCTTCAGGTTTGAAGAATTTACTTGGAAATAGTTCGATTGCCCTGTGGTCAGACTGATGTTACAAGTCGAGTTCAAAAGCAACGGAGATGCCGCGTTTGACCCGTTAGATAATGTAATTACATTACATAGGGTGTTAGCAAATATGAACTTCGTCGAAATGTTGCTGGTGTTGCTAATGTTATTGGTTATCATTGGACTGCTGATGTTCAAAGAAGAATTCGAAATGGTCGAGATGCCTGATCCTGCTAACTGGACGCTACCCACGACCAGGTTTGAGGAGGTTATTTGAATATTACTCATGCTAACCGCCTGAGGGTACATGGTCTGAGTATTGAAGTCGATCAGAAGATTCGATCCCGTGGTGGTGTTGTAGAGTGATCCGTTATCTGTGCTGTAGTTTCCAGTCGGTATCACGAACATCTTAGAAAGATCACTCAAATACAAATCTTTTTTTATTCCGATCGAGTTGTTCGATGTTGCTAGAGGGCGTCGGAAGACTCGCTCCCACGCAATAATTATAGCATTCGAAGAGTCTGCGTTTGAATCTCCCAGAGCATCGTTGAGGGCATCCTTCAAATCACTAGGGATTTTCGGTTCTGGACTCACCAAATCCTTAAGAGAATTGTATAAATCATAACCCAAGGACGCTAAATCGAAAGCAGACTGAGCCAGATTGAAAAGGTCGAGCCCGTTGTCTCCTTCTGGAATGTTTTTAAGAGATGTCCAATCTATCTTGGAATTGGAATCAATAATAGGAACGTTCGATCTATCCAGTATTTGCGAAAGGAAGTAGATGTTGCTGCTCAGAATAGTCGTCGCGTCTACGTAGTTAGCAAGAAGATTGGATGCCGTGAGATTGCTGGACACTGATAAAACGCTGGTCTGCACGTCGTAAAAGTCTGCAATGCCTGCCGCAAGGTCAGTCAAAATCAAGTTGCTGCCGAGACCTGAAGAAAACGTTAGATTGCAGAGACTGGCATCATGTGCTTGGAGTTTTGTGGTGGTTATGTTGCTGGCGACGACATTCGACATAAATCCATAGGTGCTAGCAAAACTGTATGCTTCAATGATTCCAATATCTGCATTAGATGATTGCACATTGCTGGTGATTATGCTGTTTGACACCGTGATAGAATCGGTGAGAGGATCGACATCAACCTGATTTTCTAGATTTTGAAGGTAAGGATCACCTAAATAATAATCTGACATTCTTACTAATAAAAAAGACTATTCTTCGAGTATAACGGTAATTCCTTCGTTTTTGAAAAACTTCTTCAATTGGTCGAATGATATAACGGCACTATTAAAATGTTGAATGTAACGTACATAACCGATACAATACCTCTGATGATTTCGATCGTACAATCTTTGCTTTTTAATCTGTCGAAGGACACACGGATAATCATCCCCCAAAGTTGGTTTTATCTCGATGCTAATATTCGCTGATAGAAAGGAGCTACGCTTGCCAATAATAGGTTTATAGAACTCATGATCGATCTCATTGTATAAGCAACCCAATTCTCCGATGGGTGTTTCTAGTTCCAATGAAAATTGCATATGTTCAAATAATTTACTCTTACGTATGTAAACGAAATCGTTTTTGGTTATCAATACGTCCGCCCCACTAGAGCATTCAAATTGAATCTTATAAGGCTTCTTGTCCATCCAGTATTCAAAGAAACATCCATTTTCAACGACTTTTTCAATCCGTATGAACAAATATGAGTCTTTTGTGATGAACTCACTCACTTTCCAGTCTTCTGTCTTTTCAAAGGCAGATTTAGTCTTCTTCAATAATTCGAGAGTCTTGTCTTTATGCTTTTCAAACAGAGCAGTAACATCGACATTGTGCAAACGCTTGAGAAAAGTCGACATAAAGTCATCATCCAGAAACTGTATCTGGATCGCGTTGTGATCGGGTGTTGGTGCATCGGTGCTTTGATTCGAAACGATGATGTTATACACGTTTTCGAACTTCTGAAGCCATGGTTGTTGCTTCAACCATTCACAGTATTTAACATCTGCAAGAAGTTCCGAAACAGGTTTACCTTTATGCTTTCCAAACTCTACCACTTCCTCCATCAGGATATTATCCTTCTTCAGCAAAATTCAATTTTTTTCAATCTAAGAGCAATACTTACTTATACTTCCTCCTTCTTTGAATAATTCTAATACTTTAATCATTTATGTAATGAAATAAGAAAAAAAGAGATGTCAAATAGAATGGGTACATTAGTGAAGGTTTGGGTACAATAAGGAACTTTTGGCGATTTTGACTAGACGTGTTTTTCCTTTCCCTCAACCAGTCCTAATACGAAAAAGTCCGCTAATGTACCCAATCCTTATCAATCAGATTTGGGTACATTAACGAACGTTTCGTGATTTTGACTAGACATGTTTTCCTTTCCCCTCAATCAGTCCTGTTGCTGAAAAGTTCGTTAATGTACCCAATCCTTCGTTATTCTACCCATACTTTTATTTCTTTATTGTATATCTTCAGGATAATTATTCTCAGTGTATAAATTTGTAAGAAAACGAAACAATATCAATCTTAAATAGGTAAGACATTTATATCTCTTAAAAACATGATTATATATTATTTAAAAAGAGGGTACATTAGTGAAGGTTTGGGTACAATAAGGAACTTTTGGCGTTTGAGACTACGTGCAGGAAATGAAAAACCTTCTGAGTCTTTTTGGCAAACTGTCCGTTAATGTACCCACTTCATATTTCAAATTTCATATATCAATTTCTAAACTTTTGAATTTTACTAATACTTAAAAAGTATCAGACTGTAAACAGTAGTAATGGATACGATACCAGTAGTTACGGATGAAACCGTCATTGTAAAAGATGAACCAGTCCGCTTTACATGCGAATACTGTAAAAAGCAATACGCCTACAGTCAAGGTAGATCGAGACATTATAATTTGTGCTGGGAAAGACACGAGACGATGAAGAAGCAACCAGAGAATCTAGTGAAGTATGGAGATGAAGACGAAGATCGTATCACTGATGAACAAATTCTTGATATTCTAGTCGGTACACCGGCGGACGAAGTTATAACAGCAATTATGAAACTGATATGGGATCGCCCAGAATATATGAACGTCAGAATATCTGGCAGATTTAGAAAGAACTGTGCCTATTTTGACGGAAAGTATTGGATTCCGATTGACAGGAAAATATTAGCAATTGAAGTCATTCAAAGAATCGGGTCACTGATCAACAAAAGGAAGCGTACTAATGACGCTATGCAACGAGCATGCATCTATTATCCGACTAATCGGAATAGATACAATCAGTTCATTAACATTTTGGATACCGACGATGACGAAAAATGTGTCAGATCTGGACGTCGTGAACGATTGAGAGATATGCAAGACGATGTTATAAGATGCTTCATAAGAATAACTTCTTAATTTTTTCTATAATCTCTATAATTTTTCTCTACGTTATAGTAAATGGCAGACACTGAGATAGCAAAAAAGAAGAGGTTTCACATCGACAGTTCAGACGACGAGGAGACTGAGGAACAGCAGCAGGAAGAGGAATCAGAACTAGAGGAAGAGCAGGAAGAGCAAGAAGACGAAGTTGTGCCAGCACCTGTTTTAAAAACGAAGTCGACCGCCAAGACGGAAGAGGAGAAGGAGGTGCGTAAGAGGAAGGTCAGTCAAGCAGTGTTAGACCACTGCAGAAGGATGCGAGAAATGAGATCGAAAAATCCGAAGCCGAAGGAGATATGTAAGACCGAGGTCAAAAAGAAGGTGAAGGCGATCAAACGTGAGGTCGAGGAACGCGAAGCAAAAAAAATTAATCAAATTTATGAGGAGGTCATTGAGAAACCAAAATTGAAAGCACAAGCGACTCCTAAACCCACAGCATCTCCTCCCGCGTTCAAAGACATACTGGATGTCAAGACGTACTACAAAACCAAATATCGAAGCAAATATGGAGCAGCGAGACCACCCCCGCCGCCACCAGAACCAGAGTACGAAGAACCTGAATATGACCAGCGAGAACTACTGAGACAGGCGATGAATTCGGTCAGATTCTTTTAGTATACTATATTAGAAATGGATGTTCAATACGACAGACGGTTCAAAACCAAACAAGTTCCGCGTCAAACCCCTGAGGAAAAACAGCAAAAGTTCAAGGAATACTGCCAAAAAAACCGAGAGCGGTTTAATTCGAACGCGAGAAAGTATTATGCTGATCAACCTCTTATTCAATGTGATCCCTGTCGCATCGAACTTCGAGAGAGAAACTTGGAAAGACATGTGCAGACAAAAAAACATCAGAAGAATCTCCAAAATTATTCTGATCCTAAATTTGAAGAGTGGAAAAAGGGAAATATAATAAAGTCGTTGCGATTGCACGAGTTGGTCAGAAAGAATGATTTACCTGTCAGGATCAGTTTTGATTAATCAAAGTGAATTGTCGTCAATTCTCGTTGATAATCAGATAAAGGGACTTCTTCTTTGCTGTAAAAATTGCAATTGCAGATATCGTTCAGATCAGTGATGAACTTTATCGTGGGGTTCTTAAATATGGGTGAGGTGATGAGAAGTCCTTCATGAGTATTTCCATTGCGTCTTTCAACGAACCTGTTGTAGACTTTGTACCAGTCCAATTTATACTCATTATCAAAGTATTTGAAGTTTATATGATTACACCCAAGATTCAAACTGCAACTTTCTGCAACAACATTGACATAATACATGACCATCATTCTGTCGGACACTGATATGTCCTTCGATTCGTTGTGGAAGAACTCGCGAGCAATGTAGTCATCAGGAAGAATGAACCTCGCCATTATATCATATGTGAGAAAATAATCCTTAGATTTGTTTTAAACGAAAAAAATAAACAACTACTTCGAACTTTTCTGACCGCTAATCACATAAAATCAAACGCATTTGTTTCTGGTAACCTTGCTGATCCTGAACCAGAACTCGGGTTCTAATTTGCCATCAATAATATCAGTGAGTGTAGCAACACTGTCAATGTTATCTTTCGCCTCTCCGTTATTGAATTTTGCGTGATATTCAACGGAATCAACTACAAAGATTGACTTCAGTTTCGTCACTTGGTTTGTGGCGTTTTGTTGAATATACTCGACCAAGTGACGCAACCCTCTTTTGTACACAGTGAGCCACCCGTAAATCATATGTTCTTTGAAGAATGCCTTCTGACCTGCTTTTGCTCCTATAAAATCATCCAGTTGCAAACGACACTTTTCAAGAAACACCATAGTCTCGTAAGGATCCATCTCTTTTATGAGATTTTCAGTGATTTCATCCATCTTAACTTCATCCTTGCTGAAGAAGACCAATCTCTGTTCGGGTGTAAGGGCATCCATTTTCTAATGTTGATATCTTTCGACATTCGGCAAAATTCAATTTTTTTTTTCGAATGAGAACATAATATCCATTGTAAAATAACTTTTCTTCGGTGAATTCTTTCGTGGGGATGGTCTTGGCATGGTGCAAAAATCTCTTAATGAGAGTGTCAGTTCGTATCTCATAGTCTTTCTTGTTCTTGAGGTACATAACGCCTGTCTTCTTGTTCACTGCGAAGCAGCTCAAATGTCTGTTCTGCTCCTTATCGAGGTACTTGTCTGGGTTGAAGCGGAGCATCACTACAGGTCGAGTCCCCAAATTGAACATGATCTCCATGCTACGTCGGTTCTCGCACATCTCGTCCCTGTCGTTGTGCTGGTCTTCGTCGTTCTCGATGATGATAACATGCGTGAACATGTCGATCAGAAAGTCGGGGCGTCTGTCTCTGCAGCCCCCCGACCCATCCACGTCGATCCTCTTGTTGTAGGTAAACTCGTAATCCTTCAGGCGTTCTTTCAGTACTTCTTTGAGAGCACGCTCTTTGGTTAGATAGTTTCGGACGGACTGGCTCGTCAGGAAACAGGTTGACATAGCAAAAGAAGCAGTAACCTTTATACTTTTTTTGTACACGTGTATCGCAGTGGTCAGACTAGCATTTGGAATTAACAACGTCTTCCATGTCTACTTTTGCATGGTTTTGGCAAAATCGCCCCATCTTTTCGCCAACGTTGTTGAAAATTGGTTGTGTGTTACAACCCTCATGCTCGCACCTTTTGTTGACAACATCTTCCATACCTGATTTCTTATGATTTTCACAATATTTTCCCTTGGTCTCGCCTTTGCTGTTAAAAGTTGGTCGGATTTTGCATCCATCTTGTTTGCATCTCGAGTTTTTTACGTCATCCATACCTGGTTTTTTGTGTTTTTTACAGTATCGATCAGTCTTCTCAGTAGGGTTGTTGAAGTTTGGTTCGGTATTGCACCCAACGTGCTCGCATTTTTTGTTTACAACGTTTTCCATACCATCTGTTTTGTGTTTTCCACAATATCGACCAGTCTTCTCATCAGGATTGTTGAACTTTGGTTGCGTCTTGCATCCCTCATGCTCGCATGTGGGTGAAACGAGATCTTCCATTCCTGATTTCTTGTGTTTTCCACAGTATCGCCCTTCGGTCTCATTAGGGTTATTGAATTTTGGTCGAATCTTGCATCCCTTATGTTCGCACCTTCTTTTCTCGACGACGTTTTCCATCCCTGGTTTTTTGTGTTTTCCACAAAATTGTGGTGGACATTGAAAACCCTGAGTCGCTCGAGTTCCACACCTCACTCCATCATCGCCGACATACTTGCACCTACTGACCATCTTGCTAACGGTACTCGGGATCGAAGCAAAATTCAAATTTTTTTCCAACCAGACATAATGGCAATCACATTCAAGCAACTTCAAAAAGTACTGCCTAACGACATCGTGGAAAAAATAGTTTTGCTCAAACTCGAGAAGGAAATCAAAACTGATCCGATCGCCTTCGTGATGAACGGAAAGACTGAACTGACGCCCTACCGAAAGTTTCATGTGTTTGATCACATCGTCCAAGGAAAGGTCAACATGACTTCGATCAAATCCTTTTTTAAATTGTACGAGCAATATAAGGAGAATGAACATTTCTTGAGTTGTTTTTGGCGTGCTTTATACTTTCGTCTTATCAATAATCATCAGAGACATGATAAATACTGGAAAAATGTCAATGACTTTATCCTTGAATGTCGTGCTCTCTGGTGTAATTCAAACCACAAGCCATATAAGGTTGATCATGCAAAAAAACCATCAACATGTCTCAAAATGCCCAGAAAGAATAGCAAAATGTACAAGGCTTTCACGTGGTTCTTTGCAATAGCGGACTGAGACTTATTCAGACCATTTCCAACCAGGAATAGTTTCTATCAAGCGAATTCGTGCATCAGACAGTTCACCGTTTTTATATTGACGCCTTCGTGCTTCTTGCCACAGTTTTGTTCCATAGTCTTCATTACTGTTGAACTTGCAAGTCGGATCGGACAATTTGTTGCCTTTGCAACGACAGCAGCGGCACTCTGTCATGGTTGCTGCTTTCCGACCATAAATCTCCAGTAAAATTCAAAAGTTTTTTTTTCGAGGACTCAAATTAGTCTTCTTTTCGCAATTTGATGGTAAACTGAACTCCGACACGATAAGATGCATGATATGCACTTACTTTTATTGATTTTCCTTCAAATATAGGATACCTATATTGAACATATCGATCGTCCTCATTTTCGGCATCATAATCGTAAAGTAGTGATGTCATTGCAAGATGAAACAATTTCTTTTTTTTTGATACAGGTAGTTCCATATACTGATAATTTGCATCATCATCTTCGTCGTCATAAGGGTTTTCGACGTATTCGTAAAACACTAAATTATGGGTATTAAACGATGTCATTTTATCAAGTGGAATTTCATCGTCTATTCGGTATTTATCTCCGTCAAAAACGTCTCCTACGACATTTCTATATATCCTTCCATCTGTTCTGTTAGGAATATGGATAATAGTCTCCATTTTGAAAGTAAGAAGGAAGGGGTAATAAGACGGTCGGAAGTCTCCAGTAAAATTCAAATTTTTTTTTGGAGGATTCGGGAGGATGATTTTGAAGTGATAAAGTGCAGGATTCAAAAAGACTTGAAAAAGATCCAGATGAAAGACAATATACCGCCCC